AACTAGAAGCATTTTATTTATAACTCAAACTTTCCTAAATAATGCCCTATGACAGAATTAGCAAAAAAAAAAAAAAAACAATCTTAATAAATTACAAATAAAATGCCAACAATCACCTCTTGAAAATCTGGAACTGAAACTAAGAAGTGCCAAGCTTGCTCGACTACTATTAGTCCACACAGTAGTTGTTATAAATTTGAAGAGAATAATTATAAGTGCCTGCTCTGCGTTTCTTGCGGATTAAGCGGAATAAAAGAAGAAGAAAAGTTAAAAAAGAAACTTAAAAAATCTGAGCAAGAAAAGCGAACTAATGAATGACTCCTCTCCCATTGTGCCCAGTGTCGTAAAAAATCAACTCTTTATCATTATATTTACGATAGAAGAACCAAAAAACTAACCCAAAGCACTAGCAATGCGACTGATGCTAATAACCAAATCGTCTTTTGCACTAGAGAACATTGTTTTCAATTTTTCCGTGAAACAGCTCAGAATAAAAAGAAAAAAGATCAGGCTAGATTAGGAAAAAAGAAAGCCAGAGAACAAGCATTAAGAAGAGAATTTTTATTAAAATTAGTAGAATCAATAAGCAAAGGTTATGATGTTAGTGAATATATTAATGCTTTTGAATGAGACGAGGAAGAAAAGGAAATCCTATTAGCTGCCATAGAAGCCAAACAGGAGGAAATAAACCAAAACAAGCAAAGCCAGGACAATCAGGAGGAACTTCGTAAATCTGGGGAAGAATTAAAGGAGGCACAAAGTAAAGCCCAATCTGAACCTGAACCATCAGAGAATCAAGAGAACGATAATGATGATCACTCTGGGTCAGAGAATATACCGTCTAGCAGTGGTTTACCTACTCAAAATAATTCCGAAGGAAATTGTGCCCTTTGTAAAAAAACTTTATCTGATACAGAAAAAGCCTTTAATTATCCTACCGAAGAACCTAATTACAAATTTTGCGATAGTTGCTGACCTCAAGCCAAAGAACACAACTGAATAAACCAAAGAATAGCAAG